CACATCCTAAAATCCACCAAATATCAACGTCATTTGACATTGTTAATGGTGATCAAAACTACATTGTCCTTGGATGCTAACTAGACATTGAATTTTGGTCACCTGATAACACAACCTACATCTAACTTAATATTAATGCCTTATGATGATGTGTATATGATTTTTCAGTCCACTCTTTGTGAATCTCCCCCACATTTTTGAATGGATTTGTTGCATATTTCTCTCCAGTGTGCGGTTATCCCTGTTGCTTGTACACTTGTTTTCTACCACATCTTTTCCTTCCCTTAACCTCTCTATTAATGTGCTCGGACACAGAGCTCTGCGAACAGCTCTTCTGCAATGACCTTTTGTGTCTTGCCCTCCTTATGCAGGTGTCAATGGTCGTCTTTTAGACAACTGTCAAATCAGCCGTCTTCCCCATGATTGTGTTGCCCAGAAATATACTGAGAGACCATTTAAAAGCAGATTTTTTTTAGTTCATCAGCCAGGGGTTCGTTCTTCGTACGTGGATTACTCAATTAGCTGGATTTGGGTATCGACGATTTGACACGATCCATGTTCCAAACTCATCTGAGACTTGTTGTCATAGCAAGAGTTTTAGTAGCTCAAACCTGCTTGGGAGCAGGTTCTAAAATGTGCAAAATTAATTCAACCCAATCCCGGGAGGTACGTATTTGTGCAGTTTTTATTTTCGCAAATCCGCGAGAGTCCACTGTGCACGCTTTTTCACATTTCAAATGTCTCTCGAGTGCTGTTCGCGCCCGCGCTGTTTTCGCGTGAGCCCACCAGAGGCCGCTGTCCGTTTGTCTGACTGAATGATTGACTGGGCGACCGGCCAATTGGCTGACCCACCCTCCTCCTCCTTCCCTAAACCCCACCAATTTTACCGATTGACCCGCCCACCCACTCACATCCCCAAACCCAAACGACAATTCAGAAAAGCCGTCCAGAAAAAGAAAAGTCCTTGACTGATTTTTTTCTTACGACGTTTTTGGATTTCATTACGTTCTCACCCTGTTATGAACTCGTTCGCTTTATTTTTTGGATTCTGTTTTTGTCTTATCTGGAACCGCTCTTCCCCGGACTTGAACCCGGTCGCCGTGGTCAACTCCTCCTCTCTGCCTCTGAAGTCTGCGACGTACACCATGAGCTGACTGGACAAACTGGTTTTGATGGGAAAGCCCTCCACACAGAGGTAAGTTGTCAGCTGGCAAGCACGAAAGGGAACAGCGTCATACCGCCCTGTAGCGTTCGCTTTAAAAAAACGAGATGCAGCCATATGTAACTCCCGGGATGTATTTTGTGGTCTCCAGAAACGTCCACGGGACTACATTTTCAGAATGAGCCTGGATAAATTAATTTATAGTTATTCCTTAAGCCAATTAAAAAAACACTTGAGTAGGCCTATGGGCTACTATAATAAATCTTTTCTAAATGTAAAACTAAATACATTGATATGCATTGAAATACATGATGAATACTCTTGACACATGAAAGCCTACAGCCCACAACAAATGTCGAAAAATCTTTGCGCATCATATTTGACAAACCGTTTACTGCTCATTCTATGTAATTTAGCTCACATGGATAATAGAATATTAATCAGATGATGTCATTACGCTGCTGTGCCATCAGCCAATCATTGCATTGCTGATCATGATTTCGAGGATCGATAGATCTGTCCTTCACAACACACGCAGCGATCTCAGATCAGTTTATCCAGACATTTTAATCTGATTCATAAACTTGTTTGAAGAACCAAATTAGCCAGAGATCAGTTATCAAGATTAACAGATCCAGGATCTGCTAAATCATCTTAGATCATTTAAGGGAGTTACAAAAAATGGACCCCTGGTGTCTTCAGTACTGAAACTGTTCACATTGTTCTCATTTTCTGAGATATTGAATTTAGAGTTGAATTGAATTCAAATAAAATGCTCGACTCCTTATTGAGGTCTTTATGAAGCAAAATGATCAGTCTGTGCAAGAAACTGAATATTCTGTGCAGAATGATTACTTCATTCTTTTTCACATTATAAAACCTCAATGTATGGTCAGGAGCCTTGTGTATTGATTTTATTTTCCTTGTATATGTTTTTGTTTGACTTTAAAAGTGTCAGTAGCAGCCATTGACTTGCATTATATTCATCACCAAGGACCACAGCTTCAGCTAAAAAAATACAAATAAAAAATAAATCTTTAAAGTTTTATTGAAGATAAAATGACACCTGTATTTTGTATGGGTAAGCCAAAAGCTTTTTAAAGATTTAGAAACCCTTTGAATTAAAAGACAGAGACATTGTTTGCATCTGTTTATCAGTTTTATGGTAATGTAAGGAATACAATGAATGCAATATTACAGAATCTACAAAGCATATACAATTACAAAATACTACTTTTAATGATAAAAAAAATTCGATTTTTTGATTGCTACACAGATGAAAAGTAAATATACTCTATGTATACTACCTGGCAAAAATTTCAGGATCAACAAATCATAACTTGACTTCTAGTTGATCATTTGGTATCAGAAGTGGCTTATATGAAAGGAAAAGGCCTCTAGATAACGCTTATTTTACCAAAATAAAATATGATCATGCCTTAATTTGAGAATGATTTCATTAGAACAGTAATGTCTGATTTGCTTAGACAAAAGTCTCATCACTGAACAGAAATAATGTCCAGTATAGAATATAAAGTCCTGCTGCAGTGGAGACAGAATGAATATTGTGTCTGACTCCATCATGAGCTTGGAGGACTGCATCCATACATCTCTGACATGATCCAAATCACTGATTAATAAAGTCATCTGGAATAGCAAAGAAAGTGTTCCTGCAGGACTCCCAGAGTTTATCAAGACTCTTTCATCTTCAGCGGCTCCTCCTTCATCTTACCCCAGCCATGCTCAATGATGTTTATGTCTGGTGACTGGGCTGGCCAATGCTGGAGCACCTTGACCTTTAGAAGGTTTGATGTGGAGGCTGAAGTATGAGAAGGAGCGCTATCCTGCAGAAGAACTTGCCCTCTCCTGTGGTTTGTAATGTAGTGGGCATCACAAATGTCTTGATACCTCAGACTGTTGATGTTGATCATCCACTCTGCAGATCTCTTGCATGCTCCCATACTGAATGTAACCCCAAACCATGATTGTTCCTTCTCCAAACTTGACTGCATGCTGTTAGAATCTTGCGTCCATGCTGGTTCCAGCAGGTCTTCTGCAGTATTAGTAATGATTGGGATGCAGTTTAACAGATGATTCATCAGAAAAATCAACCTTCTGACACTTCCAACTGATCAACTAGACGTCAAGTTATTATTTGTTGCTCTTACAACTGGGATTGACAGCAAGACTTTTGTCAGATTGTCACTGTGCTCATTGGGACTTTCAATTCTGCAGAAATATTTCTTTCTCCTTCCCCAGATCTGTGCATTGATGCAATCCTGTATTTGCGATCTAAAGGCAATTCCTTGAACTTCATTGCTCGGTTTGTGCTCGGAGACTGATTGTATCACTCACCTTTCAGTTGTTTAAAACATTTATGAGTTTCTTCCTGCTTTTAAAATATGTTAATATCTCAGAAAAGTAGATATTTTGAGGAACACTGGAAACCTATAAGCATTGACTTCCATAGTGTTTGTTTTTCCTACTATTGACCTTATTCTAAAATGCGGAAGTGCGTTCGTTTTCGCGTTTTTTTAAAACCTCCGATTCAGTCGTCTATGGGAGAAATGACTAGGAATAATAAACAACAGAATAGCTTTGCTTCAAACTCACTGGGGACATTTCTTTCAAATTTCACTGAAAAAAATAGGTTTTGTTTTTAGTAAATTTAGTAAATTTAGACAATATCAACTAGACTGATGTCAGACTTTATTTTTTAAGCTTTTTTATGTCAAAATTATTGTCTCTCTTATTAGTTTTTTTCCCCAAACGGTGTTAAAAAGAGCAAGGATTTTTTTTATTCCTATTATAGTTTTACTATTACAGTTATTCCTATTATAGTTTTTCTTCTGAAAAACGTCTTATTTCAGTTTGAATTATATCAGATTTTATTTTAGCATTTTTAAAAACCGTTTGGTCAATATTATCAGCCCCATTAATATATATTTTCCTATTATTGTAAAACCATCATTATACAATAATTTGCTTAATTACTCTAACTTGACTAATTTAAAAAAAAAAATCTTTCCGTTAAACACAAACTGAAGAAAAAATATATAGGGTAAAAATGATTCAAGGGTTAATAATTCTCACTTTTCTATATTTGTACAAAATTTCACCAGTATACAAAATAAACCAAAAATGAATTTTACTCAAACACAAATTTGTCAGTCAAAGTGACAGGATCTTTGACCTGCATTAAATGATTCAAGGACCAAGGTTTAAAAAAAATTGTTTTACTGAATAAAATAAATCTAAATCCTGAATAGCCTGAGCATGAGAAAATTAACAGCAGACATTTTGAGTGAACATCCCTATTTGCCGCAAAGACAGAGACATCTCTGACAATGACAACTCATGACAAATGTATAATTTAAAGTATATATTTTAATAGTTCTACTTTTATAATTGATACTATGGTATAATTAAAACTCTATAGTTTTAATATTACTATAAAATCAGTTTTTACAACAAAATACTGTACATATATACACAGACAGTAATAGATTTAAACACAAATATATATATATATATATATATATATTACAAAAAATTTAATAAATATGTATTATTTATTTTTTCATTCTTTTTTTCCGTCTTAGTCCCTTTATTAATCTGGGGTTGCCACATCGAAATGAACCACCAACTTATCCAGCATATGTTTTACGCAGCGGATGCCCTTCCAGCTGCAACCCATTACTGGTAAACACCCATACACTCTCATTCTCTCTCACACACACTACGGACAATTTTAGTTTACCCAATTCACCTAGAGCACTTGTCTTTGGACTTATGGGGAAAACCAGAGCCTTGGGACTGGGAAAAACATTTTTTTACATGCATTGTCAAAATCATACTGATCCCAAACTTTTGACTGTTAATATATGTTCAACCTCTATGAATAAACCCACATTGACTTTTTAAGAGCAGCTTCAGAAAACATTGCTTTCCTAAACAGACAATGGGAAAATCACTCAATCAGTGAGAAACTCAGAGGATTCTGAGAAGTGATGGTGTGTCTTTCTTGTTTGGCTGTCTGCACAGAAGGGGCTTTAATTTTGTAATTGGTAGACTTTTCACAGGGGATTTACACCGCTTCTTGTAGTCTGTAAAATAAGATAAAGAGATAACTGTAATGAAGTATAACATTCAGATATTTTACACACCACCAATAGCAGGGGTGGACTGCTCCTCACTTACCAATCGCCGCAGCTTAGTTGGCATTTTCCAGGTGAAAACACTGTCCCAGTCTGCAACTGACCAATAGTATTTATTTGAAATCATTTTTAAGAGACAAAAAAAAAGCATGTGAATTAAACACCAGTGGGTTCACTGTTACTGTTTTTTTTCACTGTTACAAACAAAAATACTTGCACCCTTGATAAGAATTATCTCATAACAGGCCTGTATACTTACTTCTGGTGACAACTCATCCACCACAAAATCAGTGATACAACCAAAACTACCACAATAATAGGTACAAGAATTGATGTTGATGAATCTGCTGAAAAATGAAATGCATACATATTAATAATGACAGCCAAAATGCCTGAACAAAGAAACCCAAAACAAAAACAGAAAGAATAAAAAGCAAATCCATCCTGTTTTTTTTTTTAATAGTTGCCTTCTGTTATTAATCCAACCTACATGCAGTAATACTCATCTCACTGTAGTTACTCTTGATCTCCTCCTCAGTCAAATTCCTCCGAATGGTCTTTTCCATGTACCTCACCACACAAGTGTACTGCTCCTTCCTCCAGTATTGTAAAGAAACTCTTAGAGTTACAGTTCTCTGGAAGGTTCCATCTTCATTTGGCAAAATTTCTCCAGACTTTAACAAAGCTGAATTGCTTACTTCCTGTCCATTCTTCATCCACAATATGACAATGTTATTGGAGTAAAACCCTGTGACATGACATTTCACATCTGAATTTGGGCTCTTCTGCAACAGAAACATTTTCGGCGCTAAAAGAAAACACAGAACAGATTAAAACTGAGAACAGAGAAACAAATACACAGTATTTTTTCCCAGTTTAACTTTATAACAGGTCTATTAAAGGGCACCTGTTTTGCCCATTTTACAAGTTGTAAGACAAGACTTTTGTGTCTCCAGAATGAAAAAATAGCCTGTGGCTTTAAATGCAAATGAGCTGCTTCTCCCCGCCCACCATTCCCACGTGCTTATAAACTGCAGTCAGTGACAGAGACAGACCCGGATAAAGCTGAAATACAGCTCATTAGTCAAAAATACCAAATAAGTTTATTTGATGTATTTGTGGTGGAGTTTATTCAAGCTTTTCTGAAATCTCAGTGGGCAGGGGAAACTGCACTCCTAGGTCACGTTGTGGTGGTCCCCAAAATCACAGGGATTTGGATGTCAGGAATTTAAAAAAAAGAAGCTTCTATCACCCCAATATGTCTAAGGACACACTAACACACAGTTCTGTCCAAACAGCTTACAAGAGTTTATTTTCATCATAGGTGCCCTTTAAGCAATATTGAACAAATGCTCTTCATCAGTGAAGTGGTCCCTAAGCACACTTGCAGCCAATAAGAGTGAAGTGATGTGTCTACTAATGTTAGAGAAGATTTTAAAAGACATGTGGATTATGGGTGTGTTTGTTTTGGTTGTTTCAAATATCAACATCGTCTGACAAAATTAGCTTACTGCATTATTGATACATTTATCCTGCTCTGTTTTTAGCGATGTTTATCAGGGATCTGCATATGCAAGAAATATATAATCAAGTGTCTCGTACGTTAATTATTTTCATACATACCTGTTCCTCCAAAGGCATTTTTAGTGAAAACTAAGAACTCTATCAGCCAGTAAATACATCCAAGTTTATAGTACTCTTTTAGTGTTTTATTCTGTTCTCTGTCATTGTTCCACTTCTTCACTATATATTTTGCCTTTGATACAGATGCTCTGTATTTGATTTTCTTCACATCTAGTGTGATAAAATCATCTCCGTCATATGCATAATCATGAAACTCATCATGGTAATTGGTTTTATCTTCCCAGGAACATCCATGCCTCCCCTGATATGTATGAGCACCTAAAATAGAGAGAGGAATGCACTACTTTATTTGTCTATAGAGGATTACTTTAAATACAAAAAGTATTGTTTAAAAATAAAATGTTTCTCCGATTGATGTTGCGATCAACTGTGGTGATAAACTTTTACATCATAAAACCCATTAAGATTTTTCAAATCGGTCTGACAAAAGGGCAAGTTTTAGACCATTACTAACAGACTTGAATGCCTTTTATCACTGGAGTCTTTAGTTCAAAAAGGTAATCTTAAATCTCAAAAATTAAAACCAAAAAGATTTTCTCTAAATAGCAAATGTTATCAAAAACTGTTACAATTTTGACTTGCTAATCACTAGCCAGGCTTTGGGTTTCTGGCATCTCCTATACTAAACAAAACTGATATGTTCTGGCATCTATGGCTAGCATGATGAATATCTCAAAGATTGATGCTACATTTTGTCCAACTAAGCATGTGAATGGATGGAGACAGATGGCGTGTGCTTTGGTTGCAGTCTAAAACATTTTCTACAACAAACAAAATACTTTTTATGATTATGCCTAGTGTGTCAATTTGTCGATGCAATTTTAATAATATATTTTTTTATAAATTTACTGTCATTATATTATTTCTTATAGACATATAAGCGAGGGTTTTCACAGCATGACCAATAGTTTTATATTACTTTCACTGTTATATGGCATTGTGTTTTCTAACTTATAACAATAATTGAACAAATCTGATAAAAGTTACTTTCAAAAGATCAAGGATTATCTCACCATTTGACTGAGGAAATTGCTCAATTAGGTCATGCATATTGTTGTTGTATGTCCTTTGCACCGTTTCAATCAATGTGTCTACTTTCCAAGGTGTTTTAGATTTAATTTGCTCATTCCAGTCCTGTTTTGGAACCAGTGTCTTCGTATTTTTGTCATAATGACCAATCTGTTGTCCATCCAGTGTCGCTGCTGCAAAAAACGTCTGGTTTCCCATTGCTGTGTATGTAACCACAAATGTGTGTAGCTCTAAAAAATAAAAAAAAATAAAAAATAATATATATATATATATAT